AACTCTGTCGAAATACAGACCGCTGTAATCCGAATGGAACTAGATGAATGACACTTCTCAAAAACACATCATAGCCATCATCATCGAGGGATTCCGATCACTTTCCCTCTTTTCACAACAAACCTTCCACAAGCAGCTCTCCATTGAAGAGAGGGAAAGTGATCGAAATACCTTTATGATGAATGAATTAGATGAATGAACTAGATGAATGAACTAGATGAATGACACATCTGAAAGACATCATAGCCACCATCACAGCCACTATCTTCGTCCTCCCACAAGTAGCTCTCCGTTGCGGTCTCTATTTGGATTGATTTGATTTTTACTTTTTTTTACTTTATTTTTTTTGAGTTGATTTGATTATTTGAGAATGATTGTTTTTGTTTTTCTAGAATCATATAGCCTATGATATAGGTTTCTCATTAGCACTTACAGAGGCAGACACGTACCACTGTTTCTTTTTTTTCTTCTTTTTAACGTTTTTTTTTTCTTTTCCGTGTTCTTTATCCTTTTTCGTTTTCTCTTTTTTTGTTTCGTTTTTTCCCTTCTTTTTTTTCCTTTCTCTTTCTATCTCTTTCACCATTCGATCCTCCGTTAATCTTTTGGGGTAATAAACACATATCTCACACGGTCCGCTTTCTCAAGGCGCGATTTCAATATCATCGACAAACAATCCGTCAGCATCGGGATCGGATTTCATTCCAACTCCATCGCGATCCCAATCCTCGTCCTCCCACTCATCATCCTCAGCATCATTTTCATCTTCCACCTCTCATTACTCCCTCCCTCTACGCTGACCTAAAGGCGATGAAAGATTCACCCCTCTCATTACTACCTCTACGCAGAACTAACGGCGACGAACGATTCAGTGCCATTCTTTCCTTTTTCTGTTTTGCATAAATCAATCAATACCAAAGCCGTCCTTTATCAATACGTGTCACCCTTTGCGACCCAAGACATCCTTGCCCTCGAATAGAGCACATGCGCCACATAAGAGCACGAATGCATTGTTGCTACTGCCCGCGGACGCAGAGCCCACCTTTTTACCTTAGGAGTAGAAACTCGTAACTGCAAAAATCGCCCATATATACCTTTGCTACCACCCTCTTACCCGCGCAAATCGCCCCCACATATGCGCCACATCCTTACCCATATAACTCTTCTCCGCCAAATTTTGCGCCCACAGAGCGCCACATCCTTTCATAACTGCAAAAATCGCCCATATATACCTTCGCTACCACCTTCTTACCCACGCAAATCGCCCCCACATATGCGCCACATCCTTACCCATGCAACTCTTCCCCGCCAAATTTGGCGCCCACAGATGCGCCACATCCTTTCGTAGGCCATATATACCTTTGCTACCACCTTCTTACCCGCGCAAATCGCCCCCCCATATGCGCCACATCCTTACCCATACACCTCTTCCCCGCCAAATTTGCAGTCTCTCTTTCCCGCCAAATTTGGCGCCCACAGATGCGCCACATCCTTACCCATATAACCCATACCTGCGAAAATCGCCCACATATGCGCGCCACATCCTCTTGCCCATATAACTTGGCTACCACCTTCTTTCTCACGAAAATCGCCTTTCAATTACAACCAGGCATCACCTCAACCGTCACCATCCCGTTCCTTGTCTTCATGATTGTCATGACCGGACGCACCACCACGTCCGCCAATATCTTCCACGTGCGCGCCCTCTTTCTGACGAAGCAACTGCGCCTGCCACATTCGCAGCGCCTCTCCCCGGACCGCCCCTCCCTCCCTCCCTCCCTCCCTCCACCTTCCCCATTCTCGTAATTTCATAACAATTTGTTTTTTTTTGGTTCAAAATTCCATCACCATTTGCACTTCGCTCGAAGTGACATCATCATCGTCACAATCCCACCGTCACCCGCCGCCTCGGCCCTCCAATTCTCCTCCGCTACATCACCACCATAGCCGCCACGTGTCGCATTCTCCTGATGCCCGGTTCTTTCCGTTTTTGTTCATTCATCTAATTCCTTCTCTTCATAACAACATAAATACAACCATGGCAATATTACCATTCCATCTGAGGAGCCGTACAAATCCCGTCTACATCAAACTAATCACATGTATCATCGCTAGAGCTGCCACGTGTATCATCAGCATAGCCAGCACCTTCATCATCATAACAGCCGTCAGCGCCACGTCCAATGCCGTCACATAACTTACAATTACAAGCAGAGTGCAAATAGTTTTCCATCTTGTTAGGGCATATACTAATACTCTGGACTATTCTTGACAGAATCTAGCTGTAAATGATAGGCCTTTCTTAACGGAATCTCGCCGTAAATGATGCCAGATACATCCATGGACGTGCAACTCTTCCCTTGATTTACTCTTCCTGTTAACAAACGTTATAATCCTCTCTCTCTCTCTCTCTCTCGCGCGCGCGCGCGCCATTTTTCTTTGTTACCCAGTCACGGCTTTGCTTGCAATCTCTCTCTCTCTCTCTCCGTCCTTTGTTATCCCGCCACGGCTTTGTAGAATCAACCAGACCATCTGGGAGTATTATTTGCCCCTGAACGCAGCCCAATTGGAAGAAGCTATTAATAACACAAAATTAAAAAAACGCAAAACCCGGGCCAGGATCTCATCGTATGCCAACTATCATCAATCCCGGGGCACTCGTCTCACAACCCTGAACTCCCTGATGGTTGTCCGCACCGTCGACATTCGCAACCAGATCATCATTGGCTGGCGTCACCGACATCATCTAGTTTGATATCATCACCAACGTCCACTCCTTCCACTCCTTCCATCGCTCATCATCATCATCATCATCATCATCATCATCATCATCGTTATCATAATCATAATCAGTATGATCAGCATCATCGTCCAGGTCGTCGCCGTCATCGTTCTCCTTGCACTTTCCTCAATGGCATTAGCAATATTTTGATTGTCTGCACCATACGTCGCTGCCATTCTCATCATCGACACCATCACAATCGAGGACGTTGCTATTCTCATTATCGGCATCATCGCCTTCATCATAATTAAACATGCTCATTGCTCCCAACAACGTGGACAAATATTGCCAGCCACTTGAAAGAACAGCGGATGAGGGCAGACATACTACGACCCACAATCCTTCTCCTCCCTCCTTATTCTCTCTCTCTCTCTCTCTCTCTCTCTCTCTCTCTCTCTCTCTCTCTCTCTCTATCTATCTATCTATCTATCTATCTATATCTATCTATCTATCTATCTATCTAGCGCGCGCGCGCGTTGTATACGACTGTTCAGAAAGAAACGTACGCGCTTCATCCCATACAAAATTGGCCATTAACACACACAACCTTCAACTGTTCTCAACGAACGAAAACAGCTCACGACTATCTAACCATCCAAGTGTGACAATCGAAGGCACCACACTTTTGTCTACTTTCAATTTTCACTTTTAATCACACGCAAAAAATCGTAACTGCCAAAAAAAAAAATAAAAAAAAAATCGTAACTGATCCCTGCAGAGACGGTACTGATCAGTGAAAAAACATACAGCTACGAAGAGACCCTCGGTAATGACGAAATAAGACGGCAGGAGGACCACTACGCGACGGCTAGAAACTTGAAATAAAATGGTTATACATTGACGATGAATTGATTACAGAGGAGAACAGAGGAGAACTTCATTATAAAGCAGACATACAGCAGAAATGCTGGACAACAAGATCGGGGCGCGCAGACGAGCAGTCAATCGGGGTATACGCCTCATGATTACAAGTGATTACAAGTGATTACAAGTGATTACAAGTGATTACAAGAGATTACAAGAGATTACAAGAGATTACAAGTGAACGCCTAACAGCAGACAGGAGGACAGACGGTGGTACAGAGACGAGAAAGATGGGATGGGTTTTGGGGAGGGGAGAAAGGAAGAGGAAGAGGAAGAAAAGGAAGAAGATAGGACAGGGAGATGCAAGCGAAATACGAAGAGAGAAGAATGGGACAGAAAGAGAGGCGCGGAGAAATACAGAAGCAGAGCTAAACAGAAAAAGAGATGGAAACAATGAAAGCTAAATGTGTGGAACAAACGGGGGCAGGATCGAGGCGTCCGATAAAAGACGAAGAGAGAGAGAGAGAAAAAAACGATGGGTGGCATATTCGACGTCGACGATGCACCGGAAAGCAAGCTAACCTTCAGCTTAGCGTCACACACAACCGATATCACCGTCGCACACACACTTTTCGCCTCGTTTCCCTCTCACAGCTCTCTCTCTCTCTCTCTCTCTCTCTCTCTCTCTCTCTCTCTCTCTCTCTCTCTCTCTCTCTCTCTC